GCAAAGTCGAAACACTTCACAAGCTGCAAAGTCGAAACACTTCACAAGCTGCAAAGTCAAAGAACTTCACCAGCGCAAAGCCGAAGACTGTACAAAGTCTTCATCAAGCTACAAGCCAAAGAACTTCATCAACAAGTCAAAGTCTTCAAACAAACTCAAAGCTGAAGACTTCGAAGATCCTTCGTCAAGCGAGAAGCTGAAGGCATCAACCATTCAATAACAAGCTCACGAGCCATTGAATTAAAGTTTACATTTGAGAGAATTAATCAGAGGATTATACATTAGAGATTGTAACACCCACATACATAAATACAAATACAAGTTCATTAATTCGAGTTTTGCTTATTGAATTTCTCGTCGAACACATATACTCCTTCATTTTTCGTTATATATATTTTTTTTATCGAACTTACAATAGGATAATAATATACCCCGACGTGTTATATAATATATAAATCATTGGTATCCCTTTCGCTGTCTTCTTCTTCACACCACTCCCCTCCCTCGGTTGCCTTCTCCAGCAACAAGCAACGACTGGAAAAAAAATTGCCAAAAAGCAACCGAAAAAACCACCAAATTTTATAACCACTGTTATTTTTAAAGTACTACTGTGAAAAAATTAAAACCTCGAGCGAAGATCTGACTTCGAGAGTTTCGATTCCACCAGCGATAGACAAAACCTCCGGGCCATACACTAATCATTGAATCAAGCTAGAAAACGAAAAAGCCCTATTCGAAATATGGGGCGGCTGTTGATGGTATAGGAAAAGAAGAGGGCTTTTGTGGCTTTCGGATTTCTAAAATCATGGGATTTCAAAAAGGAATTGCCCAAAATTTATTTTTATTTTTTTCCTTCAAATATGCGGATTTTGGGTTGCTAAAATCATGAGATTTCAATTTTTTAGCTATTTATTTAATAGAATTCACAGGTGTCTCTATTTATCACTTGGTTTTGAAAGATGACCAGATAGTTTTTGTTAATAAAAAATGTCCATTCCGATTTTTCCAACTATTTGATTTTGACCATCTTATCCTTCCTATTTAGTTATTATTTTCAAAATCAAAATAATACCCTATCTCATATTGTCAAATCTGTTTCTTGCTATATTATATCTCTTTGCTATATTTTCTCTCATAGATTTTAGAAACCATCTATCTCACCACTAAAATGGGTCAATTTTAGACAAAAGTTTAGACAAAAGTGTAAAGTTTCATTAGTTAACCCATTTTTGCAATTAAAATCTCCAAATGGGCTACTAATGTACTAACCAGAWGAAGAAGAAGAAGAAGCCCAAATCCAATATTGAAAGAGAAGACATAAGCCCAATAAGAGGTCTGGATTTATTGCCCAACACTAGCACTACCCTCATATATTTATTGGGCTTCCAGGCCCAACATTAGGCTCTTGAGTGGTCTATGGCCCAAATTCATTATCTAGATTTTAGGTTACTCTGAAATTCTAAGTTCACTTGTGTCTCACATGGAAAAGAGTATGTCCAATGGGGTTATAATTAGTATGATTATAAGTCTTAGGAGTTTTGTGAATTTAGCTCCCATTAGTTGGAAAAAAAAAAGAAAAAAACCTCCATGCTTTCTTGCTATTTTGTTGTAGTTGGTGTTTGAAAGAATGTACTATTGATTAAGATAACTATGAAATAAAAGTAAATTTCCTTCTATATTATACATGTTGATTGATTTAAAGTTTTTGAAAGTTATTTTAATATGAACAAACCTTCCACGGTTGTCTCCAATAAAAACATGAGAATCGTCCGATCTTTTAAAAAATATTACTCCTTTGTACAAATTAATGTTGTGAATCTAAAGTCTAACTATTAATATCGTATATGAGTCGGGTAAACAAGCATACAATATTTTTCATACGTCATTTCCTATATGTTCGAGTTGAGTAACTCTTAATTAAGAAGCTTCATCATGTCCTATAAAAGTTTGAAACATTTATAATGAGTTAAAATTAACAAATATAGTGATACATTTTTAGGTCAAATAATAAGTAATTAACTCTTCCATGCCAATAAAATACCGGTCATCATTATTCACGAGTGTCACTTTGTCAAATATATATTGTTCTTCAATGAGCATAAACACTACAAGAAGATATATCTTCAGAGACATTAAAAAGTTATTG